AATTGCACTTGCGTACTGTAAACGAGTATGCTAAATGTTCCCAGACGTTATGTGGATAAATGAACTATCTTATCTTATCTTATCTTATAGCTCTGAACACGAACTTTCATAGTACTTTGCCGTGAAAGAAGGCGTTTTTGTTATTCTACCGGGTCATGCCCACTGTTAATTAAGAAAAGGAAGTCCTAGTGGCTGCTTTGCAAACTTCATAAAGGTCTGAGTGGACCGTAGCCTGCCGTTACGAAGTTGCCTAACTACAAGTTTGGATAGTACAACTAGCAGCAAACATTTTCATAACATAACCAAGCCGTGATTATGATGACACCGAAAAATTGAGTTAAGACTTTGCTCTACTGATTTTTCAAGCGATAAAAGTCTAAACGGAAGTCGTCTGCCCACGCAGAGGAAAAAGCCATGATGATTAGCTTCGATCTTCAGCACATGACTGCTTCATCCTCTACGGATCGCCTCTAGCGGCTTACTTCAAGAGCGGCTTTCCTTAAGCGGTTTCTTTTTAACGGTTTGCCTCAATGTGTGCGATCCCAGAGGAAACAAACGTCTAATCGGGAGGAAGGAAGACACTTACGAGTAACCTAGTGAGCAAAATGTCTTTATCATAGTCTATCATAGTCAATCTTAGCAGGATTTCCGTCTAGTGTGACACCTCTAGCCGCCTTAGCATTGTATAAATTTTCTCTTTCGTCAAGATTCTTACTAAGGTTTCTTGCTTCAGTTTTTCAACATGGCCAAGTCAAAATATATTTCTGAGCTGAGTCAGCATTTTTAGGCCTATGCTGCATGATCACTACCCATCTCCAGTGTTGGTGCTCTACATTAGAAATTGAACGAAACATCCTGTAATTACCGATTCGTCTTGTTTACTTGACTTCGTGTTTTTTTTCGGATGTCCCTATCAGTTAGGGTCAGTTTCTCGGTATCATAAATAAATAAGCCGCGTAAGCATATTGAGTCTTCATTCGTTTTACTAAGAGGGAAGATAAGCTACTAAGAAGGTAAGCACACAGATTTTTCTTTAAGCACTTACACGTTCTGCATGGCTTGTAGACTTTATTATCTTAAAAGAAATATCTTTGTATCTAATTTACAGTTATCTTATAGATTAATTGAAATAATAAGACAACTTCACCCTTCATGACGACCTCATTGGTCCGTAGGTATTTGGGTTCATATCCTTCAAAGCATACAACGAGCCAAAACTGGCCATCTGACCACGTTAAACTCGCTCTCTTGAGCTCCAAAGTTTTTTTTAAAGTCCATGTATAAAAGGAGTGAAAAATAGATTCGATCGGTCTTGTATGACGTTTGCTTTCAAGAGGAATTGTCAGAAAACCCCCTCCACAGCTCAACCTTAGCCCTTTCCTAAAAAGTACTCTATTTCAAAAGATATCAAGCTATCATTGGAGCAAGTGCTAATTTCCAAAACCTTTGTCTGGAGGCCAGCAGGCTCTTAGCAGAAAGTATCATTGCAGTAAACCAGTTCTTTGTAATATACATCTTCAGTTAGGGAAATTAATCTTTCCCTAATTCTTAAATAATGAACCTCTTTATCTATGACACGTTGGAGCCTATGACTGTTTCCCGGAATACTTGGTGAAAGATGAAAACAATACCACGAATAGTAATAGGGCCACTTCAAACCTAACCACCAATACCTCTTTAAAAAAAACCTTTCTTTTCTAGAAAATTCATATTAACAGAAAGTCCTAGTTGCTCCTTTAAATTTGTGCGAATGAAGTTTTATCTATATCATTGATCAAACTTTGCATACCCTCTGTTATTGTGATGCACCTCGTATCAAGAAATGGTCTATTCTTCCGGCTCAGCTTTTCACATAATTATTAAACGATAGTCCTTTTGTTCTTTGTAGCGCTGAGGGACTTTGGCCGAAGCAACGCGAACAAGTTCGTGACTAATCGGAAAAAAATTTTCGGCGTGAAAATTTAGCTGCATTGGGGGAGTGGGTAGCGTGCGTTTGCACCTGATAAGTAAATTGTCACCAGAGTACCACAGGGTAAAATTGACCGCTGATTTAGCCGCTTTGAGAAAGTGGATGGCGTAAATTTGTCTCGTCAAGTAAATTCTTTTTGTTATTATTGCTGTTGGATTTCAATCGACCGTGCGTATAAATCTTTCTCCAGACACTGTCATAGTTCTAAGCTAAAGTCTAAAAGTTGTTTTGAAAGATATATTGTTTAAAAATTTTCCCAGAGAGCACGTATTATGACCTTGCTTTTTGCTTTTAATCGAGCGTGCAGCATCTTAGTTGGAATAGCATAACATTACATTGAAAAGGTGAGACTTTTCAGGCTGTTCTCCGCAGTAAAACATGTGTAAATGAGCACATCAATAAGGTATGGTGTTCTATCTTACTTATTCTAAAAGCTGTCAATTTACTTAAGAGAGAAGGAAGTCGCAGAATAAGCATCAACAGACGAATTGACGATGCTGTGAGTATCAATCAATCTCCACTTGTTGCACAACTATTCCGCTCGCTCAGGTCGAGGTTATCAATTATCTTTTCCTGATGATGCTATTTGCCTTAATTTTACCTGTGGACGTGAGAAAATAAGTCGATAATATAAAGTTGAGAGGGGTTATCCCCCCTTAATTTGTTTACACCAGGCACCGCGTTCCACTATGCTGAATTGATTCTAAGGATCTTTGTTTTTCATATTTAGTCATCAAGTTCTCCATCAAGCTCGTAGCCGTTGACCCCTTTGGACAGGTAATTTATCTATATCAGCAACGGCCAGAAGTCGTTAAGTTAAGTACTAAAGTTTCAACGTGAAAATAATATGTCTGGCACACGGTCAACATTTAAACAGTTACGTGACATCACGTCCCATGGTGTTCCATAAAGTTTGGGTTTTTTAAATGGACCGTACGTACCTGCAGGGTTAGGGGCATGAGACGTTAATTTGCCACACGAGATTACTGTGTGATGGCTGTCTTCCCCTGGGGTGGGATGGGTGATTAACAGGACTCCCGTTGATACCAGTGTTTACTACACTGAAGGGGCTATCCTGGATGACATAGATGTCTACTGTCTATTACGTGTTACAAATGCGTTCAGAGAGGTTTAATTTCACATCGGTCACGTGCGTATCGGTTTATACTTCGCTTCGTACCTTGCACGGATGATTCTCATCATTAGTGAAGGTCACGTAAACAGGAAGCGAAGGTCGCCTAAACACCTCGACCATAAAAGCGAGAAACGTCTCACACTTATGTTTATTTACTTTAAAAAGGAGACTTAAGCACAGCTCTTGAAAAGGTAAGTATGGCTAGCGCTAGAAACAGTTATTTCCACACTTTTCATCCACTGACTCGTTCACTGGGTCTGTTCGAATTTACTCCTGCATGTATCCATGAGAACCTATTTTTTGCCGTTCGCTGCTGTACTATTTGAAATTGAGACGAGTAGTTCTTCAGAAACTTCAGATTTGAGGCTTTTTGCAGAACAGTGTCAAAAGCAAAGTACTATAGATTTTTACCCCCTTTTAGGCCCACTATTCTTCATACTATTCATCAACGATCTACCACTGCATGTTAGTTCACAAGTAGACCTCTATTTTGATGAAGCTACCGTTACAGCATCTACTCACTTTAATAATTTACCTGAACTCGGCTTGAACTTTCTCTAATTACCTCCGCAAATGAAATACGTCACTGGGTCGACTCAAATAAACTCCCAATCAACGAGACGGACTTTTAAAGCACAATTTTTGCATTTTCGGACCCTCGTTCTTGGGATCTTTGTAAAATTCTTTAACCTTTTCGGTTGAACTCCAGGCTGCCCACAACACATAGCTGCATAATTTACTTGACAGGACATTCGATGTGAAATCACTCAGCCATAATAAAGCAACTGAAAATAACGTTTTCACGTCACACTATTTTATTTGGAAGCATTGAAGAAATTCTCGCAGGTTGATTGGTCGAACTCAAACATCGATAAATGCCCCACACAATCTGAGTATTTGCTGTACACATACTTTGTAGTCGATTTCTGATTGTCAAAAACTCAGATCGTTTAAGGTATTTTAGTATCAGTTAGTTCAGTACCTTTACTGATGCATTAAAAAAAATTCTATCTATGGCACTCATAAGTTTTCAATCTTGCTATCAACCAAGAGAATGTAAAAAGTTTACTTTCTCTGGTTTCAACTAGACAAAATTACTGATTTAAGACTATTGCTTTCACCTCGAGGTTGTAAGAAATGATCCCCCGACAAGATTGCGAAATAAGGCACAGGCGAAAATTAGCCGTAAAAATAGCATAGATGCCTTCTCTAAGTAAGCGAAAACCCAAACATGGAAAAAATAAAAAAGGAAAAAAATGACAACAGCCAAAAACAAAAACAGATTGTGGATCATGGCTATGTCGCCTACACTCCAAGTTTAGAATCCAAAACGTTAAGGAAAATTCCTTGCGAAAAGCTCAAGTTAAAAGTATGAAATAACACGTACGTAAAACTGAGAATAATAATGATCTCTTTCTTTGTCCTGATGGGAAGTATAATCTCACATCTTGATAAATAGGGCCCCGTTTTTCTTAGGAACACAAAAGTTTCAGTGGAAGCGTTCAGGTGATACTGAGAGTAATTGCCGTCTAAACGACCTCCACTTGACAAAAGGATTTAAAATCATATCCATAACCTCAAGAATTCAAAGACGTGACTAGCGACGTTATAATAGAAGGCAGATTACAGTGAAACGTGAGTTAATAACGGATTAAATTGCTGGTAGACACCACTTGATATGAGTAGATATGATTAGCTACTCATATCAAGGGGAAGAAGGGGGAAAAGGGGAAGAAGTCGTTCGGACATCCGCGAATTTACTTGGAATCAGAGGAAGTACTAACTGCTGCTTTGTACAATCAGTAAGGCAGGAAATTGTCCAATTGCTCCTGGCGCGTAAATTCTAGCCTGTCGACAAAACCTTTCACAAAAAACTGTAGAAACTGGTGAGGGCTTTCCAAACAAACGCCTTTGCGCGCCGGTGCAGGTATCAATCATGATCTTTATCAGTAGTTAGTGTAAGCTTATAAGAAGGCAGTCAAAAGATCCAATATTTCATACAGCTGAGAAAGTCGCGAATGTTTAATCATCTATCTGCCGTTAGGATAGCATTTTCCCTTTTACTTCCTGGCATGGCATCGTACATGTAATTTGAAACTTGGTTGACTCCATAATAAGGCACCGGAGTCTCCTAAATTAGATAGCTATCGACTCATTCACTACCAAAATCATATAATTCAACTGTTATACTTCCTCTGATTTGATCTAAACGGGAAAGTGCCGCCAATTGGAGTCGATTTTTCCACAGGCGTCCCAAGCTCACATCTTGAGGAAAAACGAAAGATTATTTTTTGAAGGCGTCACGCGTTGTGTGACGCGTGAAACGTTTGAGAATTTGAATGCGTTGTAGAGAATAGTATGGGCAACGAAATATGGTCTTTTTAAAACGCTAAATATTCCGAAATATGAACATTTTAATCTTAGATTGATAAAACTGATTCACTTCCTGTGTGTACGTTGTGTTTTTAGACGATTTTCGCCGTTTTGGGCTTGCTTTGCCACCATTGCACACTACGATTTCGACCGTTGTCCCCGCGGAGGTGGTTTGCGCCCAGAAAATTCATGTGATCGGCAATTTTTTTAACCCACAGCCTACGACTTACGTCTATTGAACCCTGGAAAGTGTCTCAATTCCAAACATCTTCGCGTATTACGCTGAAAACGAGCGTTTTCTATCATCATTTCCAAGTTCGTATCTTTCTGCCTGTGCCTTTGACTCACACACTGGACACGGCCTAAGGTCAATTTTATCTCTACCGAGCGTGGTACGGTCAATTTATGTATTGATCAATTTATACTTACCCCATCCCCACAGTGACACCTCGCTTTAATCCATTGTCGTGATCTACCAATCAGACAATCTCTGTGGGGATGGGGTAAGTATTGCACGTTAATCACACTGTGCAGCCATGACTTCGTCTGATAACAGGTAGATAAATAGATAGATAACCTTTATTTATCCACGGACAATTCATCAGCTATAAGTAATAAAACATTTAAAATATATAACAGTATCAACATGCATCAAATGGATAAGGTACTGTTATGAAAACTATAATTAAAACTTAAACCTAACTAAAGCTTCTTTCCACAAATGCCGTGCCACAACGTACTTCTGTAATTGAACGCTTACATAACCCAAGGGACTCTGCTTGTCTTATATCACGAGGAAGACTGTTCCCAATGGGTGGCGCCACTATAGCTAAAGCTATTCTTATAATGGTTTGTGCATGGCGATGGAACATTAAGCTTATTCTCAGAGTCTCTTAGGTTATAGGCAGTTTCTCGCCTTTCAAAATTAGAACGTAAATAGTCTGGAGCTAAGCCATACAGAGACTTATAGAGCATTGTGGTTCTTTGTATTTGCTGCTGGGAAGCTAGGTTTTTCCATCCTAGGAGCTCAAACAAGTGACCAGCATCAGCGTCATAATTTGAATAAGTCAAAATACGAGCTGCCCTGTTTTGTAGTTTTTGCATCTTGTTCAGCAAAGTTATCCCGCAGTTTCTCCAAACAACATTATGATAGTCAAAATGTGGCTGCATCAGAGCTTGATACATTAGATGCAAAGTCGCTTGAGGGACAAGGTGCCTTCTTCGTTTTCTAGCCCCAATGCCAGAAGTGACCTTCTTAGTTAGTGTATCGATGTGACTGCTCCAATCGAGTTTGTTATCAATGGTCACCCCACGTGATTTTGCAGTGGTGACCTGGCTAACTTGAATGTCATTGATTGGGGTAATTGTCGGAGAATCTGTAAGAGTACATAATCTCTGCCTTGAACCGATAAGCATAAACTCGGTTTTAGTCATATTTAGAGTAAGTTTGTTTGCCCTCAACCAACTGTTAACATTTTCTAAGTCTTGGTTTAAATATAACTGAAGATTGCCTACATAATTACCCGCGTATGTAGGGTGCGTGTCGTCAGCGTACATCCTCGGTCCACAATTGGATAAACAATTCGGGAGATCATTAATGTATAACAGGAATAGCAGTGGCCCTAGAATCATCCCCTGGGGTACACCACAAGTTAGTGAACGATTATTAGATAACGACTCATTAATGGAGCACATTTGTGTGCGATTGTCTAAGTAAGACTCAAACCAGTTATACGCATTTCCACATATGCCGTTTAACTTAGATAAAAGGATCTTGTGATCAACTGTGTCGAAGGCCTTTTTAAATCAAGAAAAACGACAGCGTTGATTTGGCCCCGATCAATATTATACGCCCAAGTGTCCGTGGCTTCAAGGAGGGCCGTGACAGTTGAGTGAGTAGAGCGAAAACCTGATGATATTTACAGATGATACTGTGCTCTTCTAAATAGGCATATAATTGGTCATAGACAATTCTTTCAAACACTTTAGCTACGACTGAAATCACGTAAATTGGACGATAATTGTTTACATCGTTTCTATCGCCTGCTTTGAAAAGTGAAAAGTGGAGTTACTCTTGCGCATTTCCAAACATCAGGAAAGACACCACGACTTATAGATTTATTAAAAATATTGCAAATAGGTATGCAAAAACAGTAATGGCAAAGCAAGCCCAAAACGGCGGAAATCGCCAAAAAAACACAACGGACACACAAGAAGTCAGTCATTGTTTTCAATCCTAAGTGTAAAATGTTCATAGTTCGGAATATTTAGTGTTTTAAATGGACCATATTTCGTTGCCCATACTAAACTTTTTTGCGCATTCAAATTCTCAACGGTTGCGCGCGTAACGAACACTGCGTCAACAACGCGTGACGCTTTCGAGAAATAACCTTTGGTTTTTCCTTAAGAGGTGAGCTTGGGACGCCTGTGATTGAACTAGATATAAGCATGATGATAAATTGTCTGAGTAATGTCACCTGTGATGTGGCTGCTGTGGTTACTCTGAAAAGGGTCCAAAGAATTGGTCCAAAGTTCATATTAATATCCTTAACTAAAGTGAGCATTTAAAGGCTCTAATGACAAGAAATCCTGTTCCATTTGTAAACACCATACGTTTTACAACTAATATAGATCGTGCTCAGTGAGGATCAAACGACTTTTCCTTATTCACTTCACTCCGTGCTGAACACGGTATGTTTCCAAAATTAAATATCAAAACATTTTGCTATGGTGTAATATATCACGGAAGTTCTAATCTGTCCAAGTTAAAAACAAGGATAATTTTCTTTTTCAATGTATTAATTTCAAACCGTAGCCGGAGTGCATTAACTAAGAAGGTAAGTGTGCTTGCAAGCAAAAGGTTTTATCTTTTTTTCCACTTTTTCGAAAAACATTTAAAAAGAGAAGAAATATGGGAAAGTTATACCCTTAAGAAAGAACATTAATTTTTTTCACCAGCACAAACTTGGAATTAGTGTCCAATTCATTAGAGCCAGTTCTTCCCCAAGGAAGCATATTTTTTCGCATGCGATTCCTTTTCCGATTTGCTTGAAAGCGAATTTTTTAAAATGGTCAGACATTACATACGTAAGCTGAAATTGAGCAATTTTTGGATGTTATTTCCTACCGAATATATTTTTTCCACGTAGAAAAGCATTCAGTATTACACGTACGTCTTTGAAAATCTTAAATTAGAGTTCACTCGGGAAGAATGCTTCGTTGCCTGACTATTGTGTAGGAAAACGGCAGAACGTTCACCACTGTTACGTTTATCGTAAGAGTTAACATCGTTGTTGAATTTTCTCTTCAATTCTTGTTTGAAAGCGTCTCGCTGCCATGAGTGCAAAAAAAAGCAAATATTTTCTTGACGAGGACTGACAAATAAATTTGTTGCGATTTCCGGGTGCATAACATGATCACGCGCGTGTCGAAAATTCGATTAGTTGTTTCCCTAGGAAGCTGCTGAGTTTTGTTTGCACCGGGGGTTAAGTGACTTATATATCCGTAGCACCTGACATGTTCTCCTCCAATTGGAAAATGTATCAGGGTTGGGGGGGATAACAATATACATGACCCACGTGGCTGTGCTCATGCAATCCAATGGGAAACCATAAAGAAAGCTGATCTATGTAGGGCTGGCTGGACCAGTAAACTTGAACCGGTTCAGAAAAGCCGTTCGACTCTGCACTCAGACGGCTCTCCTACATTTTCCGAGTATTAGATTTTTAATTGCTAACTTAACCTCAAAAGAGAACAGAAATGAGAAAACGAGCCGGATTTTTAGATGACGTTCCTTAATTTTAGTGAATTTTTTGGTAGTTTTCTGCGCCCGTCATATGTACGTCATATGTCCTATTTATGCTCAGACATATTTTCAAATGTCCAAAAACTTTGTGGTAACAAGATAAAATATTTATTGATCGAGTTTGGTCGGGCCGGCGATACGAGGCCTAGTGAACGCATCGATCAACTTTCTTACCCCGCACGACCTCCATAAAATCATTACTGATTCTAAATCGAGTCAAGCATTCCTAAAGAAGTCATCATAATTAAGTAAGTATAAAAGAGAGAAATTATCCCTAGTAAGATTTCATAGCGGAAAAAAGAAGTGAGTTAAAACTGTTTATGCCTCAACTTCAGGATTAGAATCACAAGTAGGTAACATGCTTTGACTTTTGCTTTATCAGAGAGCACTTCATTTTAACAGGTTTGCCAATTTCTCGTACAACTTAACTATATAGTCTAATAAAGCATACTCTTAAGAGCCACAAGAACCTTTTCTGCTCCAAATGAAATGTGTTATTTCAAAAAATCTCAAAATTAAAAGGCAATTGAGGAAAGAAAGGAGAAATTGAAAGTAGGCAAAAAGCGAGAGCTAGTTCCAAAGACGTGTTTTTGAAATACATATATTAGGTTGTTCCTTTTATTCCATTGACAACGTAGTTTACTGCCAAGGTCCAAAAGGTCTTATTGAGGAAATAGAAAACTAAGTCGTCACTTACGATGTTGGTAACAGAGTACATTGTTAGTACGCTACATGATTTAATCGGTAAAAAGAAAGCAAAAACGAAAATGAATTGCAAAATGTTTGCTTCATTCTGCAATTGCGCCATACAAACAATGATCATTTGCATGCAGACTTCGTGCTACGATTCTTGCCTTGAAATTAACCCAGGTAAAAATTGGTTCAAAACGTGCTGATCTGCGATAATCTTGACTAAACGCTTCTTACGAGGAATATGCTCACAAGTTTTCTCCTTATTGCAGGTTAGAAATGTTCTCAGCAATACAGAAAGATCCTAACCACACAATTACAGAGAACGGTGTTCATTGCTTAAATTCAGACTGTGTGCTTCCAATGTGCATCAACTCAAAGCTTGGTAACCTCATCAAGAAAAGAACAGACTGCAAAAGAGGCAAAAACTCTAAAGCAACTACAGATATGAGCCTGCAAAATGTGGCTGACGATAAAATGAGCAGCGTCGCCGCAAATGGAGATGTGGAGCAGTGGTGGAAAGACCTTGAAAGATTGGGAGTTCTGGAGCAGCTTCCTATGACCAGTAACACCCACATTGATTTGTCCGCATTCCTCTATGAAAAAAATGATCCTTCTCCCAGTCATTTAGGGGCCGTACTGAGACCATGTTTCAGCCAAGGGATCCCATTGCTTGGAAATCAACCACAACCTTGGATAGGAGAGGTGCATTCAAGCGCTTCTCCAGTCCACAATCTACCTTTCCTTGATGCCGGACTTTGTCAGGATACACAAACGGCGGTAATAAATCCTTTTATTCAGTCTGGAATCACCAAAAACGGAACAGACCCACTGAAAGACACCGATGCATACAAGTCTGCCAAGTCTGGAAAGTTGTTTGAGATTCTCTCCTTGATCTTTCAGGCTCTCGAGGGCCCTCATACAGCAAACCTTGAGGAGTATTATGCATCTGCGTTACAGAAGGCCCTTCATGAAATTCAAGCGGTTAAGAGTCTGTGTCAGCAATAATCAAATACTCATTCACTGCTGCCTTTTAAGGCACTTTAAAAAGTGGCAACAGCCCCATCTTCAAATAAACTTAATGAAAGATAAGATTTCCTCGAAGACTTTGTTCATGCGTAGGGCTACAAGCCATAAAGTGAGTTCTTAGTAGAATTGCTTTTAACTTAAAACCTAAGTTTTGTCGTTGTCCTCGCCACTGTAGTTGTAACTTGGTAGCCATAATATAGACTATTGCCCCGCCCTAAAAGACATGCATTAAGTATTTCATATTCTTTTGAATTGAATATTTGATACATTTCAGTCCTGGAGAACCAGTTTTGAATGCTCTTAAACTTCTTACATCATCCATTCAGTTGCTCTCGGCTGACAAATGTTTGCGAAAGTCACCAGATTTCAAATGAGTATTAAGGCGAAAAGTGGAAATAGTAATGTCAAGTCCTTTTCTGCCCGGAAGCTATCTTGAGATGAAATAAAATTTTATTAATGATATGCTTTGTTCTTGTTTATCTGACAAAGCCACATTTGCTATAACCTGCAATGAAATTGAACGCTAGCGTTGAAAAAATATACAGTCGATTTCGTTAGCTTGTGTGTCTTGTTTACCCATTTCAGTTCCTGCAACAATACTCAAAATAATTTTTTTTTTTTAATTTTCTATTTATACACTCGCACATGATAAGGCTGGAGAATTCCTTTGAGACCTGAAATCGGTAAACAAACCCTACAAGCTAAAAAGGTATATCAACAATAAAGAAAGAATCGGCCGAAGCCTAATACGGGTTACAGAAGCACCAAACTATGAGTCAAAACGAGGGAAATGCAATCCTTAGTTTGTGGGCAATTGACGAGTAACAATAGTTAAAATATTTCATGCAAGAAATATAGGGGATTGAATGAGGAAAATAGAGACTGCATAAAAGAGCCGGAATATACTATATACATATATTATAGATAGAGTTCTGATAAGCGGGCCACGAAGATGACTCAACTCCTCTCACTACTATCAACCTTTAAGGTCCCATTTATTGAAGGAAAAAAAAACTCCCACCACGCTTTCCGATTGTTGTAGGCATCAGCGTCCTATTGAAAATGACCAATCACACAGTGAACCAAATAGACGTCTACTTGATTTTATTACGCAGCTTAACAGAGAAGAATACTGCCCAAAACAGAAAACTCCTGATACCCCGTAGAATCCTAACCAAGTTATAACGATAGCCTTGTGCTGCTATCGTTAGTCATTGAAGGAAAAGCACAGAAACACAAACACGGAGTGGTAGCCCTGTCCCTACAGAGTTTGATGATATCCACTTCGACGGATCCGGAATTTTTGTTCTTGCCAACTGGCGGTGCTCATCTGCTATGGAAAACAGTCTGGGTTTTTCGTTATTGTTTTGTTGACCTTAACTGCACAGGAACTATGTACCAGCATGGAAATTATCACCCTTTCTTTGACATCGTAAAATTTTCTATTGATAACTAGCTTTGATTTAGCCGGTAAATTGTATGTTGACATATGAAGTAAGGCCCTAATTATGCACGTTTTCTTTTGCTTCACGATATTGGATCACTTAATGTGTTGTCCAGGAGTACACCCAGGCCTTCATCTCGCTCTCTTTGCTCCACCTAACAACTCTCATCGTATTTAATTTATATGTTGATAATTACTGCCAGATTTATTTCCCGAATAGTTTGCTGAGTTTCCTATTTTTTTAGAAAAGTTATTGAGACTTTGTTCATTGTTCGAACCGCCCTCTTTTTTAATTGGTACTCTACACACTTACACAGCTTGTAACACAAACATTGCAAACTTCCGACGGTTTACTAGCAAAAGGAACATTGCTAAAATTACTGACATGCATTTAATATATAACGATTTGTCGAATGTTTTACATCGAAATTTGATAATTTTTTTCTCTCTTGTTTACTAATGTTGCAATTAGATTCCAAGTACTCTTGATATCATCTATAAAACGAGTTTCGTCGCTAAGGAACTTGAGCGCCCGACTTAGATTTTTTAACTGGCTTATTACTAGATATTTTGATCACCTTTTGTTTGCGCGGGTCATTTCTCCATGAGAGAGTTTGAGAAAGCTTACTGTGATATTCAGTTCAAACTTAAGTTGTTTCGAAGACACACGTTTTCCCTAGTGTAGCTGTTTCTTTTGTCTCTTAGAACTCATTCTTTCATGATTGTAACATTATTATTTAGAAGGATTTTGTAATTACGGTACGCTAGATGAATCTTGAAAGGATGTATTTTGGCAAAATGGTTAAAATCTCGATGATATCTATCTCCTATGAAAGTGAGCAAAGTAGTGGCCACCATAAAAATGCACTGGTAGATGGTCTGAAAAGTCGAAACAGAAGTGCATCCCTCTGAGCAAATTCAACTTGGGAGGGGCGTCTGAGCTGCAGGAGGGAAGAAGGCGACCTCTTGAGATCTCTTTCTCATTATAAATCGCCGGGGCCTTTTTATACATTTTGCACAACTTTCCATGTCTAACTAATGCATGCTAGACGACAGATGCATGATAATGTAATTTCCAGCAGTAACTCGAACAATAACAATTGCTTGGTATTTGAAGTAAAGGAAAGTCTTACTCAGTGAAAGACACAGACATAGCGTAGAAAAAAAAATGTTTCACAATAAAAATTGAAGTTACGGCCTTCCCTCGTCATCTCCAATTTAGCCTATTTTTTATCCTTTTGATCACCATCTACCCGAGGTTAACCATTTTCTATCACGTTAACCCTGGCCCACTTACCCTAGGTTGACCATGCTCTACCACCGTAACCAGTATCTACACTAAGTTAGCCGTGTTCTACCTTGTTAACCACCATCTAACCTAAGTTAGCCATAATCTTTTACGTTAACCACTATCTATCCTAAGTTAGATAGGGTCGGATCTGGGGGGAGGGTGCAGGGGTGTGCACCCCTCCCCGAGATGACCTGCGGCTTTTTAATACAAGTCGTATTCTGCGAAAAAAATGTGGTTTATTGGTGTTGAAGTAGAGCAAGAGACGCTTCACAGTTATACAAAATCTACTGTATCGTTTGATACTGTATCGTTGTATTCTCAGCAGTTCATATTATGTTATTGCCAAGGGAAAAGCCTTCTTCGTATTCGCTATTTTAATTTGTTTTCGTCTGGTCACCATTCAGTTACGCCATTCTTTAGTGGTGCACCCCTTCCTCAAAAAAATCCTGAATCCGCCCCTGATTAACCCCTATTCTTCCACATTAACCCCCATCTACTCTAAGTTAGCCATGTTCTATCACGTTAATTCCCATCTACTTTAAATCAGCTATATTCTACAAAATTAATCCACATCTACCCTGAGTTAGCCAGGTTGTACCACGTTAACCATCATTTGCCCTAAGTTAACCATGTTTTACAATGTTTATTTATTAACTTCGCCAAACAACAATAATCAAAATAAATAAATAGAAAAGAAAGGAAAAAAATGACAATCGATGATCGAAAAAAAAAATGGCAGGGACACAACAGCGTAGTGAATTACAGCGGGCCCAGTTCTACTAAGTTAACCCACATCTATCCTAAGTTAACCGTGTTTCAACCAAGTTTAACACCATCTACTATAAGTTAATCATGTACTACCACGTTAACCCCATCTTCCCGAAGTTAACCAATTTTTACCACACTTATCTCAATCTACACTTGGCTAATCATGTTCTATCACGTTACCCTACATCTACCCTAGGTTAACCATGTCCTACCAAGTTAATCCACATTTACCCTATGCTAGCCATGTTCTACGGTGTCAACCCATATGTACCCCAAGTTAACTATGTTCTATCACATTAATCCCCATCAAGGTTGTCTCAAAAATTAGCCAGAATACGCATTTTATAACTACTACTTTAATCACCCAGATAAACATGAAGAAAGAAAAGTAAAAGGAACAGACAAGTGACAAAGATCGAAAGTTGCTGCTGTAAGCAAATAAGATTAACACAGTGAATTTGTTGGAAAAAGTGTTTTGAATTCATGAATTCGGGTGTACAGCAGTATCTTTAGGCCCAACTGTCACGCATAGAGACGCGGGATTCAGAAAGAAGCACGAGCACACAGCTAATTTCCATACCTGACCACGACGACGTTCAGACGAATTCTTAAAGTGATCTGCCAATATTAAAAGAAACCGTTTTCTAGCGTTTTATTTTTCACTTTTGGTGACCGTTACACAACACCTCTTCGTCAACGAGCACGCTAAATGCAGGGACCGTGAACCGTTGCCTGCACTATAGGTAGTACTTTTTCAGAGGGCAAGAAAATTCCTGCTTTTTTTATCGTTTATAGCGACTTACAACCTAATACAGGCAATCATTGTCGAGGAGTTCGTTCAATGAGTGAGCAAATTATTTAAAATAATACATGTAAGTGTTGTAGGCCCCCAACAATGACAGAACCGATGGCCAATTAATGCTTGCGACGTCGAATAGAAGCAAAGTCTTATGACCGAAGGTAAAGGTAAGTTGTGAGTCTTAACCTTTTACGTCATTTTCTTCGTGTTTGAGCCGAAGGGTTTTGTTACGTATGGTAAATTCAATTCACCATAGCTCTCTATGAATGCCATTCATATTTGAAAGGGCTAGGACAAAACACTGACTCCGGGTCAACTCACCCCCCTTACTGACCCCCTCTTATTTTCACTGGAAGTCATGAATTGAAGCAAACGCGACGTCGAATAGAAGCAAAGTCTTATGACCGAAGGTAAAGGTAAGTTGTGAGTCTTAACCTTTTACGTCATTTTCTTCGTGTTTGAGCCGAAGGGTTTTGTTACGTATGGTAAATTCAATTCACCCTGGCGTTGTGGATTTATGGTCAATTAAACATTCGTGATTTGTTAGAACTAGGTCCAATATACTTCCATTGGAAAGGCTGTCGACAATTGAGCAAGGACGATTAACAAATTTATTCATTTGGATGAGGAAAAATCATTCAAGGTCTCAAGAAAAGATTCAGCTAACCCATCTGGTTTAGTCAACGAGATGGTTGTATAATCGATATGTGGAACATTGAAGTCACTAGTAATTACGAGATCGGATATTCCAATACCATTGTATTTGTGTAAAAAGTTTTTAAAGCTATCTATGAAAGCTTCGTCCACTTTTGGTGGTCTGTAGAACACTTAGAATATCAGACATCTATTGCTACTCGTGTGAAGTTCAGAAACGAGAATTTCAACATTGGCAAACTCAAGATCAAATCGAGGGACATAAGACAAGCGTATTAGTATCAGGAGTATTAGTATCGCTAAGTATTTTTACGAGTGTGACGTATTTTGACAAGCCTCTAGAGTGATTCAAAATACACACACCTCAGGTTATAATAAGTGCGATTCAAAATATATACACCTTTGGTTATAAGAAGGGCGTTTTTAATTTTTATTTGTTATTAGCAAAATGTTACTTCTTCCTCCAACAACGTTTTCCAAAGCATGTCGTATTACACACTTTTT